ACAGGGTGTCGCTATGCAGTTCAGGCTGACCTTGAGCTCACTTTGTAGCCCAGGCTGGTCTCTAACTCCCAATGATCCTCCTGCCTTAGCCTCCTGAGTGCTGGGATTACAGGCATGCACCACCACGCCCATCCAGCAAATACATTCTAAATATGAATTTTTCTGCATAATCACAAATTCATTGTCACAAGCAAAACAATTTAAAATTGACTCAGTACCATCTAATGTGGTCCATATTTAAATTTTTCCAACTACCTATCAAATGCCTTTTGCAGTTTTTTTTTTTAATCTATGAATTAATTGAGATTCATGAATTTCAGCCGGGTATGGTGATGCATGCCTATAATCCCCACCTGGGTGGCTGAGGCAGAAGTATTGCTATGAATTTGAGACCAGTTTGGACTACAAAGTGAGTTCAAGGCGGGCCTGAACTACATAAGGATAGCCTGTCTCAAAAAAAAAAATTAACAATTTTCATTTATTTCATTTAGGGATTTTCTCTTGTTTAAAGCTGTCTTCCACCTTGTTTTGTTGTTCTGGTCATAACACTGACAATTTTGAAGGGCCTACATATTTTTAACAATACTGGAGATTGAACATAGGACCTTTGCACTGAGCTACACGCCCAGACCTTTTTGTTTTTGAAAAGGGTCTGACTAAATTGCTAAATTGCCCAGGCTGCACTCAAACCTGTGATCCACCTCCTGCTTCAATCTCCCATAGTTCTGGGATTAGAGGCATGTGTTGTCATGCCTGGCTAAAGGGCCTATGTGTGTTGTCTTGTACAATGGTTTCCTCATGATTAGGCTCCTACCAAACATTTCTGGCACAAACATCCTCACTTGGTTAAGATATACCTACTAAATATCTTCATCATAAAATTACTTTTCCTTTGACAATTAAATAGTCTGTGGTATGATTCTTTGACAGTGTTAATGCCTTGTTTTCCAACTACCTTTCAGTCATTATATAGTATATCTTTTCTTTTACATGCTGAGTAGAAAAAGCAAACTCAGACTGTTTCTTTTATAACATGGATCACTTTCTTTTATAATATGGATCACTTCTGTGATCCTGGAATGTGTGGGGATTTCTCCCCACCAGTAAGCAGGCAAATAATTTTGCAGTGCACACAGGATGGGTGTCCTTTAAATCAACTCTGACACTGTCTACCTGGAAAGAGCTTCAGATCACACAAGGTGAGAACAGTCACGTAGGATTGCTTCCACTTCAGACCCAGTTGCAAATATAGGTTCCAGAAATTCTGATTGGCCAGGATAATTGGGTTTTCTAGGATGTACTCTTTGTGTTTGATTAGTGGCTCACAGAATTCTGGGAAACATGATACTTTATTAGTTTATTATAAAGGATGCTTAAAAGGATACAAATAAGCAGCCAGATGAAGAGACACATAGGGTGAGGTCAGGAAGGGTCCCAAGCTTGGGAGCTTCTGTCCCCAGAGTTGGAGTATGCCAACCTCCTGGCATGTGTTGAGTTCTTGTTCACCTTCCTATAGGCTTCCATGTGTTCAACTGTCTAAAAGTTCTTTGAACCCTGTCCTTCCATGTTTTTATGGAGACTTCATTGCATAGGAATGACTGAAGCATGGACAACCATGGAGAAATTGTACAAAAAGGGCCTGATCTAAGGATGGTGGATGGAGTGAGGAAGCCCACCCAGCAAGACCTGTCAAGATTCTTGTTGACCTCTCTGTGTAATATTCCTTCCTCCTGGGCATTCCTCCTTTTGAAATAGCGGTCTTATGACTTATTATTAGAGAAAGTAGAACAGAGAATTTTACACCCAATACCAAGACAGAACAGCGGGAGAAGATTAGTTTGTATGAGTTACCTTGGGGAAGAGAAATTCTAGTTTCTATGGCCTGTCTTCGAGAGGGAGCTATAAACCAGGAACCATGCATTAGAAATGCAAATATATACATCATGTTACAGCATATGCATACCTATGATAAATTTTAATTTATAAATTAGACACAGTAAGAAATTAACAATAACTAAGAAATAGAATTATAACAATATACCATAATAAATTAATGTGAATGTAATCTCTTAAAATATCATATTGCACTCTACTCACTCTTGTAATAATTTGAGCTATAATGCTGACATGATGAAATGAAGCAAGGTGAATGATATAGGCATTGTGGTGTAGCATTATGTTATTACAGACATTCTGACAATACTTATTTTGAGCACAGTTTACCATGGACAACTGAAACTTTGGAAAGTGAAACTATGGGTAAGGTGGGACTACTGTATTCTTTTCCAGCTTGCTTTTGGGGGAGGGGGGTTCACTTAATAGCATGAACAAAATTTATTTCTAAAAAGTCACTGGAAGGCTTTAACCAAGGGCTTGATCATCTTCATTCTAGATTATATGGGTAGCTCCAAGATGAATAGTGTAGGGAGGTGCAGGACCTGAAATTAGAAGACCAGGGGGAGGTTGTGGGGGGCTGAACAGTAAAACGAAAAAGGAGTATTTAGTATTTAGTTCACTTAAAACCTGAAAATAACACATATCAACTCCTGCTCCCCGCCAGGTGAAACTAGAAGGGAGATTAGAACAAGGAGGATTCTGGAGTTGGACATGTAAAAATGATCGACGTATGTTATATGCATATATAAATCTGACAAAATTAAACCCATTCATCTGTATAACCAATAAAAAAGTGAAAAAAATAAATAAAAGTGGAAAAAAATTCTGCAAGTAAAAGAGATATGTTTATCTCTTGTTTATGAACGAGATGAGAATGATGAGGTAAAGGAAGATTCAAAGTGACTCTTTGTCTTGAAAAACTGAGTAGATGCTTAGGGATGCCATTTCGATAGAGAAAAGTAGGGCTTGGGTTTTACAGTGGAAAATCTAGAGTCCCACCCTTGAACATTTTAAGTTAGAGGTATTTGTCACATACTCAGTTGGAGATATAAGTGGGTACTAGGATATTTCCATCTAGTTGGAGCTCTGAGGGAAGGTTGGGAAAAAGATATTTAGGTGTCAGATTTTATGAAGTTGCTATTTAAACTCCTGAGAGTTGATAAGATTTTCTAAAAGAAAACAAGGGAGGAAAGAATAAAAGGCAAGTGTTGGGTGAGAAGGACTGAAGATTTCTACAATTTAAAGTTTGAGTAGAAGAGACAGGTAGGGAGATTAAGATGTGTGGCTAATTAGGTTATGAGTACAAAGGAGTGGGAACCCAGCAGCCAAATGAAGAGTGTTTCAAGGCAGAAACATTTAATTATGTGGATGAAACATTCCTTGTGGAATGCTGCTGGGAGCTGGAATAAGATGACGGAAAATCCATTTGATTTTTGGTTCCTCCCTTCTCCAATGCCTGGCATGATGTTTTGTCTGCTTAAAGTGTTCACTTCTCTTTCTTACTTGGTAGAAACTCTTAAAGATCCTTGAAGATTCAAATCAAACTTTGCCCAGGTTCCCCTGGGAAAAATCTTAAAGCTATAAGAACATTTGCTTCAAGCTACTCAGTACAGTTATAATTTCTCAATTATTTCTATTCTAAATTGATTATTTCTCCCATTAGAATATAGACCTCCAAGAATGTAAACCCCTTGAGGGTTGGTGTCTTTATGCTCTCCCTTTGCCACATCTCTAAGCCTGATCACATAGCAGGTTTTCAACAAGTATTTGCCAAACAATAAATGGACTCAAGAGCTGGTATGTAGTGACAACTTGTAAAAGCAGTAAGATATTGTGCAGTGTACAAGTAAGTACAAACTCAGGCACAGATTTGCTTGCAGCAATTGAGATTTTGACATAGAACCCATTAAAGAATTTTGTGCCAAGTCTGGGCTGAAAAAAAAAACTATTTTATCTTTCCTTTCTTGCCTTCTACATCCACATTTCTTTGTTCATTTTTCCTCATGGCCCCAAATCCTCTTTTCCACTCCAAATTGGTTCACCTCAAATTTGATTATTTTGCGGGGAAAGACAAATAGAGTAGAGGACAGTGCCAAGTTAGTGAGGAAATGGTAAGTGATGGGAGATGTAAATACAGCATGACAAAGGTAGGAAGACAGGAAGCTCATCAAATTAGGTGTTTCAAAAATGCTAACCAAATAAAATAGTTGAAAAAAAGACCATAGGTGAGAGGGTAGGTCCTGACAGCCTTTGGCTGAATTTAATTCCAGCTCCATTTGCCTTTAAGCCTACTACTTAATATTGTGAACTCAGTTTCCTCAGAATTTATAAAATGGGGTAATAAAACCTACCTCAAAGGGTTGTTCCCGGGATCAGTGAGACAATCCAGTTTACAAGTTTAGCATGAATGGCATAAGGTAAATGCTCAATTTATGTTAGCAGTTATTTTTCTTTAAAATTAAGTACGGCGAGGAGAGCCATCCTACGCAGCAAACTGTTACATGCTTGTAACAGTAAGGACTACACTCAAAGAAGCAGAGAGGATGCACTGGCACTTACATTTTGGGCACAGCAAAGACCTTGCCTAGGACAAGACTGTCACAGTGCAGCGCCTTGCAGTAGTAGCTGCTTTATACCTTCGGAAAGCGGGGGAAAAAAGAAAAATGGTCATAAAAATCTATCCTGGAAAAATTTGGTTTCGCTCATGAGGGCCACTTTCGACGACAGGTAGCTTCAAGCAACGAGGAAAGGAACCCCGGATCCGGTGATGAGGAGTCTTTTTCCGGCCCTGCAGGGACAGGACCCAGTGGTGACTAGTCCGCCATTCCTCTGCCCGTCTCAGGCGGTGTCCGGGACTAACTGCGAGAGCAGCGGTCTCACCTATGCGATTTAGCTGTATCTTGTCACAAGAATGCAATCCAAGATTTGCATCCCAGCCAACTACATGTGATACCTACGGCAGCCGCAAGGAGCCCTCAGAGAAACTAGACTCCGCACCAGGACGGCCCAGGAGCCCGTCTTCGCCCATTGGTCGCTTGGCGTTCCAATACCCGCCCCCAGAGTTGAAAGCTTCTTCCGGGAGCCGGTGGAAAGCCCCAGTGGGATCCCTCCGGAGCCTCGCCTACTCCCAGCATTCAGTGCGGCGCTCTAGCCGCCATAGTTTGAATTTGAAAAAGAAAACACCGTGGCGCTGCTTGCGTGTCTGCTGACCCAAGGTATTGTAGGTGAAGAGGTGAGTGGTGAGGGTGAAGAGGAGGAGGAGAAAGAGGTAGAGGAAGAGGAGGTGAGTGACTGGGTTTATAGCAAGCCTAAGGAAGAGAAACAGCAGTGGAAGTGTTCACACTTCCTGTCGGGGTTCCCGAGGCCCCTGTCGGGAACGGGTTTTGGAGGGACGGGGCGCGGCGAGTACTGAGGCATACTACTCGGGTTATGATTTAAATCTCGTTTCGACCGCCTATTAGCTGACTGAGGAAAGACTTTATTAATCTTCTTGAGCCTCGGTTTCTTCATCTGTTAAAAGGAGGTAATGATAGTACCTAACCTTAGGGCTGTTGTGAAGATTGGTAATGTGTACACTACCAACAGTAACGTAGACAGTTGTGAAAACATTGCTTGCACATGAAAAGACATTGCGTGTTTGGAATCATTAATCTTTCATTATTGTGGTTGATTATGTTATATGCCACACCAATCTCCCTGAGTCCCGGAGTCCCAGTTTGTTCAGCAGATGACATTACCTCTTTCTGGGGAAGCCCCGTGTGAACTGCCAGGCGGGCTCCAAATGACTAAAAATAGGCTTATTCCGGCTATCTTGAAATCCAGAGGGTGCATACAAATTTGAGTTGGAATCATGAATTAAGCCTGCTAGTTTATAAATTAAGGGCTTTTGTTCTTAGGTTCTGTGTGCTGTGTAGAAGTAAACTGAATGCCCATTTACAACCTTCTCAGGCTAGAAACCCTAATTCACCAATCACTGTCCTGGATGTTAATAAATTTATCTGAGAACAGAACTGAGACTTCTCTAGCCCTGATATTGTACACCTAATAGATTCTCAGTATTTGAATATTTTTTGTTCAAATATTTTTATTTTTTTCATGCAAAGTTACTCTTTAAGTTTAATTTGGTGATTTGATGTTTAATTCAGTTGTAATAATTTGCTGATGTATTATTCAGTTTAAAAGCTGTGATGTGTCAGGTTCTGTTTTCATATGTACCTGTGTTTGTGGTATTGGGTATTGAATTTGTCACTCATGCAAGGTAAGCCCTCTACCACGGAGCTACACCTTGAGCTCAGGTACTGTTTTTAAATGTATTCTAATGAATTATTTCATTTTTTTGTTCCATTTAGAAGAATTAAATGTAATTTTCCAGGTAACTGAATTTAATTTCTAAGTGTTAAAATAACATTCTTCACAAGACACTATGTAACTAAAATAACACAAGGTCATAAGTCACTCTGTGATCTCTTTACTATTTGATTTCTGAAAGGATTTCAGGGAAACAGTGAACATTGTCACACTTAACAGATTACCTTTATTTGGGAAATCTTTTTGGATGGATCTGCTGATACGTTGGCTCATATAAATAATAATAGGGTGTGTTTAATATTACTTGATTCAGGTTCAGTAAATATAATTTGATTTTTTTGTCTTTCTGGCAGGTCACTGTGTTATAAGTGAAAAACTAAGTGTTTTCCTTTTATAGAGTCTAGTTATTTGGAGGGAAGTAGTAGGCCAGACTGTATTCTTTTTTTTTTTTTTTTTTTTTTTGGTTTTTTTGGTTTTTCTCCGGTACCGGGAACCGAACTCACGACCTTGCGCTTGCCAGGCAGGAGCTTTTGCCGCTGAGCTAAATCCCCAGCCCCCAGACTGTATTCTTTAAATGATTCTTTATCTGCTGACTTACCAAGGTTGTCTAAAATGTTGCCATTTTTGTTGCAGAATGGAATCTAATTTGAATCAAGATGCAGTGCCTAGACCATCCTATGTTTTTAGTGCTGACCCAGTTGAAAGGCCTTCAGAAATAAATTTTGATGGCATCAAGCTTGATCTTTCTCGTGAGTTTTCCTTAGTTGCTTCAAACACTGAGGTAAATAAACTGTAAGAAAAATAGTATGTTGATTGTCATAACTGAGAGGAAATATGCGCATGGCACTACAGTAGAAATTCCCAAACTTCTGGGTTTAAGGGAACCTACTGTCTGTATCTCAGTAACATTTTGATGGACTGTTACGACAAAAGAAATAAATAAAAGTTTTCAAGTAGTAGATGTTTTCTTTAGTAGGTCTTTTTAAGTAGTAGGTCTGACCAACTTAACAAGTATTCATGCTGTAATCTGGTAGTCATTTAAAAAAATTAAATGAAAAAAGTTTCATTCTTTGATAACTGTACTTACTAACTAGTGTAATATTTGTGTGACCTGCTTTGTTATGATTTGGAACCAAATCTGAAATACTTTTGAGGTATACTTGGCCCATCAGTAGATCTTCCTGCCAGTAGGAAACTTTTAATTACTGTAGTATTAAAATAAGTCTCAGCATCATGTAGTATTAGTCCTCCAAATTTCTTTTTTTCAGAGTTTAGCTCTTCTGTGTACTTTACATTTCAAAATGAGGTTTAAAATGAATTTTGTTAGTTTTTTCAAAAAACCTTGAGATTGCATTGAATCTGTACATCAGTTTTAAAAGAATCTATCTTAACAGTATTGGATTTATCAAACAATGAACAAGGTATATCTCCATTTAGTTTGGTCTCTTATTAATTTATCTGCAGTGTTTTGTGTACAGATCTTACGTCTTTTTTACTGATTTATCCTTTAGTATTTAAGAGTTTTAGACTATTTTTAATATGTTGCTTTTTAAAATCAGTTTCTTAGTGTTTCCAATATAGATAGAAAAATAATTGATTTGGCCTGTAGATTTTTTCATGCTACATTATTAAAATCATTTAGTAAACTTATTATTAAACTCAATTAGAATAGCTTTTTATTTGTTACATTTTGTAGGTAGGCACTCATATTGTCTGTGAATAAAAAATTTTATGTCTTATTTCCTAATTTGGATGTTTCTTTTTTATTTATTGGATTTTTCTTTTTGACTCATTGGACTGGCTAGTCAGCTATTCAATGTTGAACAAAAATGATGAGCAGAAATCTCTTGTCTAGTTTTGTACCTTACTACTCAGTCTTTCACAGTTATGTTATTTGCAATAGATTTTTTCTTTTGGATAAATGCCCTTCATCAAGTTGAGGATATTTCTATTTCACCTTGTTAAGAATTCTTTCTGTGAAGGTTGTTGAATTTTGTCAACTGCTTACTTTGTTTCTATAGAGGTGAAAGTTTCTTCTCAATTACTTTTTTAACAGTATGAGTTATCCTAATTGATTTTTGAATGCTTAACTGACCTAAATTCCTGGGATAAATCATACTGGTTGTGATATATTATCCAGTTCTATATATTGGTTAGTATTTTGTTAGGGAAAGTTTTCATTGATCTTAATGTGATTTATAATTCTATAATTTTTTTCTAAAGAGACCCTTATCAGATTGTGGTATGTCAAACTCAAAATTCATTGAGGTGTTTTCTTATATTTTATGTGTGAGTTTTATGATTATTCCCTTAAATGTTTGTGAGAATTTGTTAGTGAGCTACCAGAGCCTGGATTTTCTTTGTGGGATTATTTTGTTTTGTAATGCATTAAATTTCTTCAACAGATGTAGGATTACTCAGATTTTTTAGTTTTTGTATCAGTTTTGTGAGTTTTAGTTTTCAAATAATTATTTCCTTTTACTCTTCTTTTAAAATTTAACACAGATTTTTGGAGGCTTTTTTAAAAATATTTAAAGTAGTTAAAAATAGAATAATGTCTGCTTAGAAATTCTGTATTTAACCAGTCACCCATGTTAAAGAATGATGATCTATGAGCAGTCATTTTCTGTATTTTAAAAATACAGTTTTATTCTTTTTTAGGCAAACAGTTTGGAATCTAAAGGTTATCTCCAAGTTTGTCTTCGAATAAGACCTTTTACACAGGCAGAAAAAGAACACGAGTCTGAGGTTTGTGTTGAATTTAATTGGATTTTAATATTTCCATTTCCTTAAACGGGCAAAATACCATTACCATTATTTACTGTGGCAATGTATTGTAGGGCTGTGTACATGTTGTAGATTCACAGACTGTTTTGCTGAAAGATCCTCAAAGCACCCTTGGCCGGTTAAGTGAGAAAAGCTCTGGACAGATGGCACAGAAATTCACTTTTTCTAAAGTAAGTACCCTGTGAAATGCAACTTTGGGGGAGATACGGAATAGAGGGTGGCACTAGGAGTTGAACCCAGTGTGTTATGCATACACGTAGCATGTGTTTAACTACTGAGCTATAGCCCTATTTCCCTGCTCCCCCAACTTCTTTTTATAGTGAACTGTTTATTTTGTGCTAATAGAAGTTAGACCTCTGGCATGTGTGTTATTACTTGAGAATAGGATTCAAATTTAAAGTCTATAAATATGGTGTATAACTGGGATTCAGAAAATCACAATAATCTTAATTTTTAAAAAAATGTTTAAAAATTTACAGAAAAGTTTACTAAGATGAAAACATGAGTGGCTGTGTGGGTCAGATTTCTTATCTTGAAAACTTGCTGATCTAAGTTAAACTGTCAAGTGTATTTTTGGTAGTGGGGAAGAGAGCCTATTTTGAGAGCAATCATCTAAAACTAATCTTTTAAATTTTTTACACATGAGATACAGGGTGGAACTCATTACAAATATTTACTTGAATTTTGTAAAAAGATGTCTTAAAAATGCTTCCTTAGGTTTTTGGCCCAGAAACTTCACAGAAGGAATTCTTTCAGGGTTGCATTACGCAGCCAGTAAAAGACCTCTTGAAAGGACAAAGTCGGCTGATTTTTACTTATGGGCTAACCAATTCAGGAAAAACATATACATTTCAAGGTAAGTATTATTTGTCCAGAAGGAAAAAGAAGCAATAATATTCTATTGATATTTTTATAATTATAGTAGTTATGTTTTTTTTTATTACCTAGTATGTGTTTACTCCATTTTTATTGTTATTGATTATTCTTTTTTTTTTCTTTTCTCTTTTCAGTACTAGGGATCAAACTCAGGGCTTTATGCATGCTGGGCAAATGCTCTATCACTGAGCTTCATCCCTGGCCCTGTTACTGATGGGTTTTATTTAATTCACTTGTAAAACCATCCATCTGATGGAGGTTAAGGTGATTAGAATTCAGAAAAAGGATTGATGTAGAGAATTAAGCGTGGATCACCAGTGAGACGTTATTTCATTTTACTTTTATGTTTTGTGATTATACGTGATTGTAAATCTTAATATTATGGCCTGATCTGAATGTAAAACTTTAGAGTTTGCATTAGAATAGTGGACAATAAAATATTGCTAATACAGTGCGGACCAAAGTGATGAAAAAGTGAATAATCTCTCAGTTTTTCTCACTTTTGTTTTAGTTATTTACTCTTGCTTATGCTAGTATAAAAGAAAGTTTTATTAGCTCAGGAATGTTCCCACTTTCCTACTAGCCTGAGAGTATGGCACAAAATTTCTTTTCCAGGTACAGAGGAAAATATTGGTATTCTGCCTCGAACTTTGAATGTGTTATTTGATAGTCTCCGAGAAAGACTATATACAAAGATGAACCTTAAGCCACATAGATCTAGAGAATTCTTACGCTTATCACCAGACCAAGAGAAGGAAGAAGGTGCTAGCAAAAGTGCATTACTTCGACAAATAAAAGAGGTATGCTTCATGCTCAAAAATAAGAATGCTTAACCATTATAAATATAAATAGTTGAGAAGTCATTTTTGATTATTTTAAAACCAGCATCATACTTTTTGTATAAAAGTTCTGTTAAGTGTAAAGGTAGTGTATATACACAAAATTTAAATAAGAGAATGTGAGAAATAAAAAGTAGAGGTTTTTTATTGTGTTTTTAAAGAGAAAACCACTATTATTGGATTGAAAGGTATACATACATACACAGTCATATCAATGGTTCTATGTGTCTTCATATCACCCCTTCCCTCCCTTGCTGGGGATATAACTCAGGGGCTTATGCCTGCTAGGCAAGTACTGTACCACTGGGTGCTACACCCTACCCTTTTTTAAAAATTAAAATTATGTGTGGGATATAGTTTTTTAAAAAACACAAATGAGGTCTTATTGTATTTATTTATAACTTACTTTCTCATTTAGCATAATTTAATACTCCTCCCTACAAATCATGTGTCTCTTTTCTGTTAGTTTATGTGTTTACTTTCTTCTTCTTTTAAGTCAGAATTTTAACCATTTACCCATGGTGAATATTTATATTTCATTATTAACTATTTTAAACATCATTAACTTCCATCATGAACTATTTTAAACAGTGCTTTAGTAAGGAAACTTTCTGTTGTAAATACATTGTGTGCTCATTTTTCCAAACTCAGGCCAACAATGGGTATTTAATGGTTTCTGTTCAGGCCGATGAAAAATGTTCTCACTTGGCCTTAATTTATTTCTTTAATTATAAATGAAGTGATTAATTAGTTCGTCTTAGAATTTTTCCTGTGGAACATCAGATATGTTCTTGGTCCATTTTTCTGTTTGACTTTTTTTCTTACTGAAGTATGAGACCTCTTTTTTTTTTAATAAAAGAGTCTCTGGCTGGGGTTGTAGCTCAGTAATAGAGTGTTTGCATAGCATGCACAGGGCCTGGTTGTCATTTGGTCAGTGACTTTTATTTGGATAAGTAATTGTATGTCTTTAAATAAACTTAAATTATATCTTGACTTTGTCACCTTAACTAAAAGTGTTTTTAAACTTTTTAAAAAAATTATCTTCTAGGTTGCTGTGCATAATGGCAGTTATGATACTCTGCATGGTAAGGGTTCCTTTCTTTAATCTGTTTATATGAAATACATTTATAAAACTTTTAGTTTGTTTTTTTTTTTTTTTTTTCTCCGGTACCGGGAACCGAACTCACGACCTTGCTCTTGCCAGGCAGGCACTTTTGGCCGCTGAGCTAAATCCCCAGCCCCCAAAACTTTTACTTTGTAAATCACTCCAGGTGATTTAATTTCTTTAATGACATAGTAATACTTGGGAAACAGTATGTAACTCTAATCCTTTCACTGGTTATTACTTTAATATTGAATTTAGAGATGTTCTTATTTTTCTTTGTTCTTTGCATTTAATTTCTATGCGGTTTGTTAGCATATTTTCCAAAAGAAAGGAGGGACAAAAGGAAGCCAAACTTTGGTTATTTCAAATATTATTTGCCTCTTTGTTTCAAAAACTGTATAACATAGATTCAAAAGATTAAGGATATTTGGTTTTTCAAGTCCAGGAATCATGATCTTTACTTTTATTTTTAGATAATTGCATAATTTTGTTCCTGTCTTTTCTTCTTTCTTCCTTTCTGTTTTTATTTTTTGTAGGAATTTCAACAAACTCTTTGAATGTCTCAGAGTTTGAAGAATCCATGAAAGATTGTGAACAAGCTAGCTTGAATATGGATAATAATATAAAATTTTCTGTGTGGGTGTCTTTCTTTGAAATTTACAATGAATGTATTTATGATTTGTTTGTCCCTGTATCATCTAAGTTCCAAAAGAGGAAAAATTTGCGGCTTTCCCAAGATGTAAAGGGCTATTCTTTTATAAAAGGTATGCTAATGAATATTTTTAAGTTAGTTTAGCAAAGTTGCCTTCCAGGCTTTGTGATAGCTATTGAAAAGCAAACAGGAAATTAATACACTTTATATTCATTATTAACATCAAGAAAATAAGAGAAGTTTGTACTTTGGAAGTATATTTAATATGTTTGTTACACTTGAATATAAAAATGTGTAGTTTGGTATTGTGTTTGGTCGAGTATCATTAACTGAATTCATGGTGATGGGAAAAGATAAGTGTGTTGAAATTTATAATCTGCTACTTTGAAATGTCAAAATTTTGGAGCTATGAAATATTATTGTTCTTCCATTGTGATATTTTTCTAACTCTTTAAAACTTATTACTCACAGGAAGTACATATTAATAATGTAATGGCCATGTGCATGTGTGTATCTTTATATGTGTGTATAATATTCACAATAAAAATCTCAAATTAATTTGTGCTCCTTGGCCTTTTGGCCAAGATCAAGTGTAATATCTGTTCTTATCAGCTTAATACGTGATATGTCCTCTATCTAAGGACAGTATATTAAATGGATTTCTGGAGCTGGGAGATAGAAGAGGAGCTTGCTCCGTCTACTCAAAGTATTAACCTGGTATTGTAGTACCTCCAGGAATGATGCATCAAAATTTTTTTTTCCTTTAATTATCTTACTATAGGTAGTACACTGTGATATTTTTTATATTCTACTTGATTTTTACAGACTGTAGATTATTTTGCATGAGTCTTTGATGCATTCCAATCTGTATTGTCTTGTACACAGCTAGGTGTTTCTGTAGATTGAATCTGTAGTATGTATTGTCTTTTTTTTTCCCCTAAATGTCAAATTCTAAGGAATTTACCTTTTAAAATTTTTCCTCTGGCAGACTACTGAAGAACATTTACTTCATGAGTTTGTATAAATTAAGTACCGTAATATCATAATCCGTTCTGGAATATGAAGTAGCTGAGTTGACTTCAATGTCTGTGTTGTTAAAAGAAAGATTTCATTCTGTATTATTGGGAAAATGTGTCAGAGTGTAGAGAATACCCTTTTTTAACATAAATTGTTATGTGTCCATCTTATGTTTTAAGACCTACAATGGATTCAAATATCTGATTCCAAAGAAGCATATCGACTTTTAAAATTAGGAAGTAGCTGAGTTGACTTCAATGTCTGTGTTGTTAAAAGAAAGATTTCATTCTGTATTATTGGGAAAATGTGTCAGAGTGTAGAGAATACCCTTTTTTAACATAAATTGTTATGTGTCCATCTTATGTTTTAAGACCTACAATGGATTCAAATATCTGATTCCAAAGAAGCATATCGACTTTTAAAATTAGGAATAAAACACCAGAGTGTTGCCTTCACGAAACTGAACAACGCTTCCAGTAGAAGGTGAGAAGTACATCCTTTGAAGTAATCCTGAAACAACCATAGTATTCTGTGCTATGCAGTTTATTATACAGTAAAACAGGCAGTAGGTTCTGTTAAATGACTTTGTAGGCGTAAAGAACTTTTTTCCTGTAGACTAAAAAGCACTAAACATAATATTATTTCTTATTCTACCATTGTGTTCACTAATTTTAGGAAATCTAGGTTTCCTTACTCTTTGTGTCAGTATCCTAGCTCATTTTTTCAGTTGCCTAGAAAGGTGGTCTTTTCTTTCTTTTCTACTTCATGGATATTCTTTTACTGAGTTAGACCATAATCTCAAGAGGTTCACAGATGTTTTTGTTGAATGGAATTGGTAGATGACAGACAAAGGAATAAGTTTCAGCAGTTAAATTCTTAAAACAGATTTTCTCTTAAGAGGGAAAAGAGCCCTGTCCCTCTATTAAGTTGGGCATATATGACTTACGATCCAAATAAGCCTATATATGTGTGTGTGTATATATATATCTCAAATATATCATATATGCTTTGCTTTAGGTGTATAGTTCAAAGAATACTGGCTCTACATAATATAAATTTAGTTAATAACATTTGCAAGGAAATTGGGAATTATAAATTATTTCATTAATAGATGCTAGAATATCGAAAAGAGAAGCTCTGAAGGATTGGGACTAGGCAAAGGATATGATTTAGGCAGTCTGGTATTGCCAGTGAAACACTGGATTGACGTGTCTGGCAGCAAGTTCGAAAATACTCTAAAGGACTATAGCTAATACTGGATTATAAGTAAAGGTACATTGAGATGTTAGGTATCTCTTATTTAAAATGCGGAAATTAAAAATGGAAAAATGGAAAAATCTTTGTTTCTTTTAGTCACAGCATATTCACTATTAGAATACTGCAAATTGAAGATTCTGAAATATCTCGTGTACTTCGAGTCAGTGAGTAAGTTGAGTGTTCTTTAAATTGTCATTATTTTGAATTCTTTGAAGAATTTTAAAATAATTTTTTATTGTGGTTTGGTTGATTCAGATTATCTTTATGTGATCTTGCTGGTTCAGAACGAAGCATGAAGACACAGAATGAAGGTGAAAGGTTAAGAGAGACTGGGAACATCAACACTTCTTTATTGACTCTGGGAAAGTGTATTAATGTTTTAAAGAACAGTGAAAAGTCAAAGTAAGTGTTATTAGCATGTGAAGTATTTAAACTTCCAACTTTGCTCTTTTTAGTAAGTACTTTTGCTTGTCTGTAAGGACTATATGGACTATGATTAACATACTTATATCCTAGATTAGAAAAACACAAAAATAATTTTTTTCAATGTCATTGACTCGTCAAGTAAACTCAATATTTTCTGTAGCAGATATATATTAATGGACACTTGAGATAGTAAGTTTCTCATGATGCTAGTTTGGTATCTAAAGCTACATTTTTTTCTTATAAAAGTACTCTGTATTTTATATGAAAAAAAATTTTGTGCATTAATTAGTGTTTTAGATTAACTACTGGACCAGCCTTTAGCATTTCTAGTTCATGGTGTTTTATGTCATCTTTTGTATAATTATTCTATACTAGGGAACACAGCCAGCATAATCTTTACATTTTTTGCCTAATGGGTTATCTTTGATGTTATTATCAGCAGCAGTATTTAAAGAAAACAATCAGAAGAACTTTTATATGTGGGACTAATCACTAATCTAAAGTTTAGGTTTGTGATAGCTGAACTAATTATTTCTTTGTAAAATTATTTAGCATCTTCATGAAATTTGTTTTAACTCACAATTGTTTGAAAAACTTTTTCCATAGATTTCAACAGCATGTGCCTTTTCGGGAAAGTAAGCTGACTCACTATTTTCAAAGTTTTTTTAATGGTAAAGGGAAAATATGTATGATTGTCAACATCAGTCAGTGTTGTTTTGCTTATGATGAAACACTCAGTGTATTGAAGTTCTCAGCCATTGCACAAAAGGTAAATGTAATTCAAATTTAGACTCAAATTTTTAAATTGCCTCTTATTAGAATATTAATATTCCTTGAAGTGCTTTGTACTTGTCATTGTAAGCCTAGGAAATAATTGAAAATCAAATACTTAATGAAGTATGAAGTCATAGGAAAATATTGGAAGTTGCCCTGAAAGGATTAAAATGACCTTTAGCAGTGTTAATTATAAACATGTTACAAATTAATAGATATCCTCAGAATGAATTATCTGCCCTTCTATCTATGTGGTTCATTTAGTCCTAGCTAATTAGAAAGCCTTTTGCCTGGAATAATACTAAGAACTTTATGTAGGAATGTGGCTTTTTCTATCATTTCATGTATAAGTAGCTTTTTCTTTATAGAAGTTTTATTGAAGTATGCTGCTTTCTTAGTATTTTTTCATAGCTTTAATACTTAGGTTGTCATTTTAGTTAATTTTATTAAGTTGGTTATAGTGGACAGTTCTTGTTTTTTCTGCTTTAAAAGTCACGTTTGATATTTTAACAGGTTTGTGTCCCGGATAATTTAAATTCTTCTCAAGAGAAATCTTTTGGACCGATCAAATCATCTCAAGATGTATCAGACAGTAATTTGGATAATAAAATATTAAATGTAAAAAGAACAACACTTTCATGGGAAAATAGTCTAGAAGATTTGGTGGAAGATGAAGATGTGGTTGAGGACCTAGAAAAACCTGAAGAAAACCGAAATAACCAAATTGGGGAAACAGAACTTATTGATGAAGATCTAGATAAGACATTAGAGGAAGATCAGGATTTCATGAGCTGTAAGGAGAACAGAGTATGTATTAAGATCTCATACTTCTGGTTTTTTTTGGTACCAGCAGTCAAACTCAGGACTTGCATTTGGCAGGCAGGAGCTGTGCCACTGGCTATATCACCAGCTAAGATCTCATACTTCTATGCTTGGTTTAATTTTCTGTATTCAGGCTACCAATTCCTTTTTTTTTTTGAGGGGAGGTTTGTTTTGTTTTGAGAGAGGGTCTTGCTAAGTAGTTCAGGCTGGCCTTGAACTCACTATGAGGCCTAACTGGCCTTGAGCTGGGAATAATCCTTCTGCCTTAGCCTCTTGTATGCTGGGATTACAGGCATGAGCCATGAGCAGGCTACCAATTCTTAATATTCTCTCCTTTTTTTTTGAGATGGGCTCTTCTTATGTGTCCCAGGTTCTCAGCAAATTAGCAAACTCCTAGACCCAAGCTTTGCTTCCCCATAAGTCCGCCAGTAGCTGAGACTATAATATCTGTCTCCCTTTTTTTTAAAACAACACACTGAAATTTTTTTATCTCACTTTTTTTTTTTTGAAAGATTTCAAACCTGTGGAAAGATGAATATAATGATCACTCATTTATTTTTCATCTGGATTTGTCAGTTGTTATAAATATGTGAATACACAGTTTTTTGTTTTATACTCTTTGAAAACAAGCTGTGTGCTTAATAATACTATGAAACTAAATATTTCTACATGTATTTCTTCAGAACATGGTTTTTTCCTCAGATCATGAATTCATTTTCATATCCAAGAAATTAAACATTACTATAATAAAATATTATACTGTACCATCCATATCAAAATTTTTCCAGTGATATGACTATTACCTGTTATAGCCACTTTGTTTTCACCTATGACTAAAGTTAACACATTACTTTTTTTTTTTTTTTTTTGGTTTTTCTCTGGTACCGGGAACCGAACTCACGACCTTGCGCTTGCCAGCCAGGCGCTTTTGCCGCTGAGCTAAATCCCCAGC